AGAAGCAGCATTGTTGCGTTATAACATGCTGCTCGAAAGTGGTGATCTCATTTGTACTCCCCGTGTAGCAAATAGTGAGTTGGAGAAAGCGGACGATGTAGCGCAGCAATATATAAACTGTACAAATATCTCATTTGCATCAGCTAAAACGTCAGCCTCGAAGGCTAAAACCTCCCTAACACCTATTATCGACGAGAAACGAGCAGCGGAGAGAAAGAAACTTGAATCAAAAATTGCGGCGGGAAAACTCAATGAAAACTATGTCTCTATAAACCTGCAAAAAAAGATATTTGCACGTGGAAAACGTCATATGAACTATTCTAAGTACAAGAAAAAACAGTGGCGTCACAAAAAGAAAATTGCTGCTCTTGCCGGCCCAGACATGGACATGGGCGGCTGCGACGGAGGTGTTCTAACGTGCTTCAATTGCGGGAAAGTGGGTCATTTTGCCTCTCAATGTAAGATCAAGGGAGACTCCTTGCTGCCGCTGTCGGCACAGCTCAAAGAGGATCCCTCGCCATTTCCAACACTTGAAGAAGCCGAGCGTATGGCAGCTCATAATAAGGTTGTGGTGCACAGCAGAAATATATCGAAATTGCCAGCTGCACCAAATACTGCGTTATATCAGAACAGTGAAGATGGTTGCCTAAGAGAAAAGCAAGAAAATACAGATGAGCAGGATGTAGAAGTAGATGAGGAGACCACGGGCGGTAACCGAAGTAATGGTAACTCTGTTGATGACTATGAAAGCGAGAATAGTATGGGTTTTGAAAGCGATGAAGAGCTTGAAAATATAAACCTAGAACAATTATCCACTCCGACTACTCAAGTTTCACCCATTAAAAAATATGTAGGTCACCAAATTCCAGAAGATTTTCTTAAAGAAGCCGGTTTACATTCGAAAAGTACGAATGAAAAAATACCAGGTACACAGTTTGGCGATATCAGTCCTCTTTATGAACTCGATTCCGAAGGAAATGTACGTACCGACGTTCCCTCCGAAGTAACAGATGCATTGCGTATGTTCGGTCATACCAATTTTCGAAAAGGTCAAGACCGTGCAATTATGCGTATACTATCTGGTCTTTCAACGTTAGTTACTCTAAGCACCGGCAGCGGAAAGTCGTTATGTTATCAGTTGCCCGCTTATTTGTATAGCCATCGCAGACGGGCAATAACATTAGTTATATCACCGCTCGTGTCCCTTATGGAAGATCAGGTGACCGGTGTGCCACATTTTTTGCGAGCACATTGCCTACACACAAATCAAACACCCCAACAGAAACTTAAGGTAATGGAGAAAATATCTGCTGGTGAAGTGGATATTTTGTTAGTGTCACCGGAAGCAGTAGTGGCTGGCGAACGTTCCACTGGTTTTGGCGCAATTCTGCGGCAACTACCACCAATTGCCTTTGCCTGCATCGACGAGGCGCACTGTGTATCGCAATGGAGTCACAATTTTCGCCCTAGCTATCTGATGATTTGCAAAGTTCTAAGACAGAACTTGGGTATTCGCACAGTGTTGGGCCTAACTGCAACAGCAACGTTACCAACACGGCTAAGCATTATTAGTCATTTAGGCATAACGGATGGCGTACGTGGTGTCATAAGTGACACTCCACTGCCAGATAATCTTCTGTTGTCCGTATCAAAGGACGAAAATAAAGATGCTGCGTTATTGGCCCTACTTACAAGTGATCGGTAAGATACATATACATATTTTAATTCAATAAACCATAGTTAATTTGTAATTATTATTTTATATTAATTTTTCATAAAAATATTTGACATTATGTGGAATAAAAATTTTATTACAAAAGTATTTTGAGGGTACAAAGGGCCCTAACAGTTGTTGTGTGCCTTGTGCAGCAGCTCAGAAAACAAAAGAAACTCATCCTTTTTATTTATGCGTTTAGGATTTGAGCCTTTTTTTGAGTTTAACGAAGTTTATTACATCACTAGCATAGAGTTGAAAATTGCAGTTTTAAATTTTTATAAGAGAGAAAAAAATCCTATAATTTTTTTTCAAGTACATATTTTGCAATTCTTTGTCTACAGAGCAAAACAAAATTGTATACGAGTCATTTAATTAAAATTCGACGTTAATGAAAAATATTTGTATTTTCTTGGACTTATCAAATTTTCTGTGCTTTCTTTGGAATTAACAAATTTGCGTTTCACCGAATAGACTAGGCCTATTGTTCAGTCCATGGTACGTTCGAGTTTAGATAAATCCACAAATATACTATCACTGAGTTCGAATAGCTACGAACGTATAAATATCCACAGGTACTCTAATAATAAGTAAGATTGCTGCAAGCGGATTTTCGGCTTTTTTTAAATAAAATTTTCCTCAATTTTGATTCTCTTAATGAAATGGTCTCTTGCTGCTGCTCCAATTATGAAGATTTCTCATGGCCTTAAGTGAAAGACCTTATCAAGATGCACTGCTCAGAGCACCTGATATGCCGGGGCATGCGAATCTCTGCATACTTCCGATGAGCATTTTCCGTAAATTACGTACGGTGACAGTCCCCAGTTTGTCGGAATGCCATTTTGCAGATAAGGTATGCTGTATACCTAATTTTGCACTCTCCTCAATATTACGTCACCATGTTAGCTTAGAGTCGAAAGATAAAACCGTAGTACTTCGCCTTCCGTGAAAACATTTCTCTACTTAGGCAAACATTGTTTATGGATAATATGATGAACTTTTTATAACATTTTCCCATAGTGCCACTGCTACGAAAAACATTTATGTATGCCTATTTACGAGTATTAAGAACCCAACAAGCAAAATAAACATAAAGTCGGTTTTATTTTACATAGATTTTATAAAGCGAAAATGCTTATCTTTCTATAAAGTCATGATCAAAAAATACAATAAAACTATTAACAGTAAATATAGCTTTTATTAAGAAAAGAGCGAAGCAAAATAAGTACAGTTTTTTTTATATCAAAATTAAAACGAAAAAAAAATCAGCCACATCAACAGAAGTTTTTCCAAGCAGCTGTCGCGCCTCGGTAGAAAATGTCAACCCTCCGAGTGTACTTCTGCCATAAAAAAGCAGAACACGAGTGCGAAGATGTGCTCAGCAAAACATGTAGAAAGCGTTTAAGCGCCAAGCATTCGTTTATTGGAATCAAATATGACATCCTGTTCATCGCCAAATAACCTAGGATATAATTTTGAAACTATTTAGTGGCTTCCCTTGATCGATCAAAAAATCCGGTTTATTCGGTATTCGAAAAATCAAAATTTCACAAAAACCGCCTATAGATTGCCAAAAAAAAACGGTGGGAACCGATTTGGAAAAACCTAGTCATCACCCTAATACATACATATAAAACTGCACTTTGGCTGTTTTTTTAACGCATGTGCAGAAATTTTTTGAATTAAAAGCGTTACATTTTTAACTTTACTTCGCCTGAATTTCCTGTATAACAGAAAATACAACATTTTTTATGCTTCTCGAAGTTTGCGTGTTGGTTGGCTAAAATTAAAATTAATTTGATTTTGTTCATGTAGGCAATATGGTTTGCTGACTACATCAATATCGAATTCTCAAAATATTTTAAATCTATCTACACAAAAATAGCCAATATAAAAGATATACATACAGTTGTCCACAAAATAATAGGAGTGGGATATTTTAACCTG